TGCTTCTCCTGGAATTACCTAGCTTTTAGGGTCTTTTAAGTGTTTTTAGTTGTTTATTTTCTCACCTCTCTCTGGTAGATCATTGCCACATGGTTTGACTAGTTGCTCTACTGAGTTATTAGATTTCTTTTAATTGATTATTCCTAAAATTTTCATTGTTTTTTAAAATACCCTTAGACCTAAAGTTTTCTACACACTATTTCAAATAGGTCCTTTGAAAGCAGTTTATGAATCATCTCTTCTTACGGACTCTGCACTTTCTCCTCTGTTCTCATGGAAAGAACTGTGAACCACTGCTCCAGAGAGGGGGACAGAATAGTGATCTGCTTCTCTGTCTGACAATCTTTCTTATTAGCTGGTAAAGGATGTTAGTCTCTGGTCTTCTCAGGTTGTCATCCCTACAAATGAGTTGAGGCAAATGCAATGAGGACGTCTATATTCATAGGATATTATGCCTGGTATAGAGCTTCAGTCCTATGAGTGCATTGAGGAAGGGTGTGCTTTATGTCTCAGTCACATTGCCAGAAATTTAGCTTCTGCAGCTGGAAGCCATGAGGGATAAAGCTGGTAGCTTACCTTCCCTTGTATCCTGTCATTGGGTGCTGATGGGAGAGGGTGACCTGTGTGTGTGTGTGTGTGTGTGTGTGTGAGAGAGAGAGAGAGAGAGAGAGAGAGAGACATTCCATCAGAATGGAGTTTCCATCATGCTGAATTAGGTGATTGATGCAGGAGAGAGAGGGTTGTAGCCAGAGTACCTAACCCTCTTCTTGAGATTTAGTAAATTTTCTTCAATGAACATCTCTTAATGTGCTATTTGCTTTTAAGACAATTTCTAGAGGTATTAGATAATTGTTTTTAAAATATTTTTAGCAGTTATAATTGTTTTCCTAGAAACAAGTTTCACAAAACTCCTCACTCCACCCTTTTGAAAGTAATTGTGCCTCTCAGATTTGTTTACATAAAGTTAAAGCCAATTGTAGGAATCAAGAAGAAAAAAATAACCTTATTTTAAAAAAAGATTAGATTTAAACTTGCCAGACTCAGCTAGGGTTTTACACCCTCAATGAATTCTATTGAAAACTTCTTAACTTTTCAAAATTCTTTGACTAAGTAGCCTTAGGATATTTCACAAACTTTCCCCCCCTTTTCTTTTAGCATTGTGCACACTGCATTTAAATTTTTTTGCCTCCAGTTCAAAACCCTTATTTTAAGATAATCTTAGCTTCCCTCTTCATTTACATGATAGCTTGGGGCCATTCTCAAGTTTTAAACCAGAAATTTAAAATGTATTTCTTGAGGTCAGTTCATCAAAATTTATGGAGTTTCCACCCTGGGACATATATCAACTTTGTTCTGGGCGCAGTGAGAGACTAGTAAAGATGATATGATCTGTAGTCTTGAAGAGCCATTAAATTGGGATTTAGATAGCTAAGAACACACAATTATATTTTTGCACCTTGTAGGTGTGTGATTAATATTGAGATTCTTTCAGGGTAGTTGTATCTCCATCAGAGTCATTAAAGCAGTAGAAGTTGGTGGCATTTACAGTTGCATCATGTGAGTTACACTGGACCCCTCAATAAATTCCCATACAGCCTGTCTTTTACTGCCTAATTTCTCAGGACATCACAGCCCCTCTGTTATGTTATTTATACTTTCTAGGTCTCTTTTCTACAGTGATGTCATAACCATATTTCATTGCACTACCATTGGTTCTCCTCTTACATTAGTCTTTGACTTTTCTATATGTGAGATGAATACAATTTCCCAGGAAAGCAGAAATGAAATCTAGGACGGTGTATTCAAAATACCATCATGAAACTAACATACACAGTAGAAATCTGTATGCCTACTTGAACCCTCAGGTTAGTTCATGAATTGTTAAAACCTCTGATTCTTTTCTTGGCCATCTTCTTGACACTCCTGAAAAATTTCTGGTTTGCAACTAGACCTCCTTGCAGGACTTGTCTCTTCTTTTAACTTTTATATCATGCAGATTATTAACTCCACAACCCAGTCCTCCCCTCTGTTCATTCCATTGGAAGGTCCCTGTTTGTGGTAGGTTCTGGGTCTTCTCTATTACTGAAATCATTTACTTGACTTTAAGGGAATTTTGAAGTCTCATGAAAGGGAAAAATATGAAAACAAACAAATGTAATAATTTAGTGTTACACTTAAATTTTTTTAAAAAATATGTAGAATACCCAGAGGACTCAAAGACTGATTCTCATCTCTGCAAGGCAGTAAAAAAAAGTCAGAAGAAACTTTATGATAAAGAACTGATAATTAATCTAAGCTATGCATATACATTATTGTGAGACTGGATTAGACAAGAATTGAAGAGGAAAGGCATGCTGGGTACAGTGAAGATACACACAAACAGACTCAGTTTTCATTGTTGGTCTTTTACCTTCCTTTGTGAAGAGTCAAAAAAGAAGCTATATTTTCCTCAATTATTATGTTCTCCCATATTTTCTGTCTGCCCTCTTCAATTCTCCTGGTGCCAACCTCTTTGATAACAATGAGTAGCATAACATGCAGCTAGCACAGCATCTAGCACACTTACTAGGCCCTTAAAAATAAGTTGAATGCATGAATGATAAATCCATAGATCATTATCCAGTTTAAGAGCAGTTTTTTACTCTGGAAACTAGTGCCGAGTATCCTTGGTATAATGACACCAGCCACTGTGTCTGGGCTTCTAGCTTTTCTTTTAAAAATTCTTATGTTAAAACCCTAGAGAGAAAGGCCAGGCTTGACTGAAACTTTCACTGGAAGCAACAAAAGAGATGTACAGATTCTTAAGAGGTAAATTGTGAACTAAAATTTGGCCTATGATTTTATTGTGCTTAATTTTTATTTTATTTAATTGATTTTATTTTTTTTAAATACATGACAGTGGAATGCATTACAATTCTTATTATACATATAGAGCACAATGTTTCATATCTTTGTATATAAAGTATGTTCACACCAATTCATGTCTTTATATATGTACTTTTTTTGTATTATATAAAGTAGGTTGACACCCAATTCGTGTTTTCATACATGAACTTTGGATAATGATGTCCATCATATTGTGCTTAATTTTAAAAAATTACATTCTTCAATCTATATCATTCATAAGTAGGTGAACATAGAATAGTTCAAGTATCCACATTCACCTTGACAATCTTTCTATTTAAAAAAAATAGAGGATATTACTTACTCCTACTTTAACGAACAGTGAAAAAGTACCAGATTTGGTCCTTCATTTCCTCTCAACTATCAACTTCTATTTAATGAGTTAGAATCTTCCAGTCATTCTGTGATATGCCTTCCCCTGGTTTATCCCTTTAATAGTATTCTGTGCCATTTCCTAGGCTTGGCGGAAGAGGTGGGTGAGAGACCAGAAATTCTGCAGCTCCGTTCCCCGCTCCCACCCTCTGCTTTACTCTGCCTGGTCCATTTGGTCTCCAATAGTGTACCACACAAAGGTGTACAAGCGATTATTCCCTAGGTCAAAATTCAAAGCACCTTTGACTTTAAACCCTCCACCAGGATGTCCCTAGCAGGCACAGCCTTAGTGCCTACCAGGAGAGGACCTTTTGGGAAAGCTCTTCCTCTCTTCATGGGATCCACTACTTCTCACTGACCACCTGCTCCTGATTCAACATATTTAGTCCAGTGTTGTTCCCTTTATGCCCAACTCTCAACTGCAGGTCTTCTGGGACACACACATACACAGCTGTCTCCCAGGGACCAAAAGCTAATTATCAGAGATATTGCAGACTAACACCTTAAGGAGGAAGGAGTTAATTTTCTAACTACCACATAATTTGCAAGGCAAGGCTCTCTCAGGCAGTCTGGGCATCCTATTATTATGCAAAAAATAATATATATATTAATTATATATTAATATATATTATATATTAATATATTAATATAATTATATATTATATATATTATATATTAATATATATTAATATAATTATATATTAATATATATATAATTCTCTTCCTCCCTGCTGTCCCCACCTTTTTCCTCCTCCCCATCCAATTTTAAATTACATTCTCTAAGCATTCTGGGAATCAGAAAGGGGGCTATTGTGGGGCCTTATACTCATCTCTGGCTATTCAACAATGAGATGCTTTGCTATTGCGGTTCCATTAAGGAATAGATTAACTCCTTATCTAAGAGTCCACTTTACCCTCAATTTCCAACTAGGCAGGAGGGCAGGCAATGGATTAATCTTCCCCTCACATAAGTATAGGTAATTGATGACCTGGGTGCTCAATGGTCAGGTCACATGGTCTGACAAATGATTTCTTTTTTTCTGAGTCATGATTCACTTTCATTAAGTCTTACAAAAGTATGAAAATCAAACTGGATTTAAGCATTTTATGCAGCATTTAACGAATCACCTTTCTTAAAGAAAAGGAAAAAATAATTACATAAATTCTGTCTAGAAAATTCAGCCAGCATGGTCACCATGGCTTTCTGATCTATACTCGAGTTAATTATGAAAAATGTTCAAGTACTTAAAGAAATCTTAAAAAGAAAAATCTTGAACATCTCAGCCATGTATCCTGGTGAGGCTAAAATTGGGCAAAGGCAGAGCTGAATGCCAAATGATAATTTCTGCTAAATAATTCAGGCCATGTGAACTCTGATATTTTACTTACTTTAATGAGTATAATGGGTGCAATTAGAGACTGCTTTTCCTCACGGTGCCAGACACAATGTGCTTTCGCCTAATTGTGGGCTCCATCCCCCGCCCTGTTTTTCCAGGTAACTCACACCTGCAAAGTTTTCCTGTAATTCCAGCATCTGGCTTTAGTAGTCACAAAATCAATGTATTTCAAAATCGTAAGTTTTTATCATGGAGAACGAAAGAGGCTTCAGACTAAAAAATAGATTTATTCTATAAGGTAGTCTGTGATCAATCTCATTTGCAGGAAAAAGAGATCGTAGAATGTGGGTTTCTTCTGACATTGTTCTTTTTCTCCTCCCCACACAGGGAAGTGATGCTGATATGGTGGATAAGAATAAGTGCTGCACACTGTGTAACATGTCTTTTACCTCAGCGGTGGTGGCTGACTCCCATTATCAAGGCAAAATCCATGCCAAAAGGTTAAAACTGTTGCTAGGAGAGAAAACACCATTGAAGACTACAGGTATGCATTTGGACAACCATTCTGGGGAGACACTGATGACCAAGCACTGCATCGATGATGTGAATCATGTTCCCTCTTTAGAGGCAGCTGCCGGCTTCAGGGTCCTAATGGTAGATGCCATTCAAAACCCAAAATGATAGGTGGATGGCCCCAACAGACCTTGCTGTCCTAAGACCATTTCAGGTGCTCATTCTACCAACCTTGTTCCTTCAGATTGGTTATTTGGCCACTCACACCTACCAAAAAGCTGTTTATATTCTGCAAGATATATTATATATTATATAAAATTTTGTAGCTATTTTCTTCAGTCTGCAGTCAGCATGGATAATACATGGTGTATAGTGTATAATAATTAGATCCCCTACCAATATCTGTATGAAGAATATAATGCTGTTTTTACTTCACGGGGAAAGTGGTAGAGAGGAAAACCAGTCTTTAAAACCACTTTAGTTTGCAGAGAACTGAATCTTTGTATGGCATTCCAATATCTTGGTAGGGGATCCTGTGACTCAAGCCTATTAGCTTTCACAAATAAAGCTTAAATATTGGTAATACATTACTTGATCTCATTGCTTCACTAAAAAAAATTTCTTCAGAGGTCTATCAAATTATGGAACTAAAATGTTGTTATAAATTAATAAACTTAGACTCTTTGAACAAGTTTATATTGTGATGAAAATGTTACTAGACTGGGTTATAATCCCAAAAAGTTGGGAGTATTTTTCATGGTGTCTACTCTTTCAATGCAATTAAAACTTAGCAGTGCATTTTATCTTGCTGTCTAATGAATCGTGCATAAATCGTGGGTGTAATTATTTTTTAAATGGTATTTTGGAAATTGGAGAGAGTCTAAAACAATGCTGGGCTTTGATCTTCACCAGTGTTTTTCTTAAGAAAATGCCTTCTTTCACCAAGAGAATAGCAAAGGATCCTTTCGCTATATTTTTCTACTTAGTTTAACTAAAGAGCATTGTTTTCATAGAGGTGGCTGTGACATTCAGGAATAGGATGGGGTTGTAAAACACGTGAAATCTGGAGACAAGCTCAGCTTGTTTTGGAATACGCTGTGTGGTTTGGCATTTGATGAGCAGCCACTCAGTTGAAACTCCTGATTCTTGTTCTCTGAAAGGTTGGATATTCACCTTGTAACCTACTCCTCATGAAATTTCTTAAAATAGACATCTCAAAGAAACACTTGCTGGAAAATTTTTACCTGTTTTCCATGAAAAAGTAACTATCTCATTTGTTCTCTCTGCCTAAGCAGAGTACTGCTGTTAAATTTAATTCTGGAGGTAGCCATGGAAGAAGAGAGGCTGTATCTTTGTTTATCACATTGATTAGCAAAAGGGAGAGTTATTATTTCTGTAAAAAAAATATCTCAAGCAAAAATAGCTCATTGTGAATTTAAATACATCCTCAAGACAACCAAGCACCAGATTGTTTCCCCTGAATTCAAATACCCTTAGAGCTGGTACATATAAATCAGGGGTGATTTATTAGTTGTCATTAGTGTATGCCAAAGAAAAAAGCAGGAACATTTCAAGTACAGCCTTAACTTAATGGTTTAGTCCTAGCTGTCCATGGTGCTGACCTAGTCCTCACTGTTGGCAAAAATCAGGGTCTGATTAGGCAAGAGGGGAATGGGGGCAGGGAGTGGGTATGTAGTATCAACATCTTATAACTTGGGTTGGGGGAAAAAAGACTATTTGTCATGTTCTGGAATCTCTCTTTTTCATCTAGCTCACATCCCCTTTTTTCAGTATGTCCTCTCATTTATTCCCCTCTGAAGCTGCTTTGAGCAGAAAGAATCATGGAAAATAGCAACCTCAGATAGAATTGGAGATCCTTGGAAGCAATAGTGGTCCCTAGGCTTGGGTTGGTGTCAACCCAACTGCTAACAGGGAGTCAAGAAAGCCACTCATTCTGCTAGAGGGCAGTCAGCCATTAGAAACAAGGGCAAACAGAGGCAGACATTGGGAGGTATGGCACAGGTTAAAGCCATGAGGACTAACAGGAGTGTAGAACCTAAGAATGGGGTTTATGAGTACAGAGAACATGCTTACTGGCATGAAGGAAGTCTGGGAGGTGGTAGCAGGAACTTGGATGCTGTCCTAGGGTCCTGAGAAAAGGAAAAAGTGAAGGCTATAAAGAATATAGCAGAATATCATCACTTAAGAGAAAGGCATTGTGCTGAAAACCAGCTATAGGGAACAAATCAGAAACCTGGGTCCCAGATGTGGCAAGATTGAAATGTGATATCAAGCATAAATTCAGTTATTACAAGTATAGAGCAAGGACTAAGAGGCACCAGAAAAGAATACCCAAACTATGAGCTCCTTGAGCTGCCAAGTGTAGCTCATTTAACTCCTTGGATGGAGTAAATATTGCCTTATTTCCTTTTTTTTTGTGCAGTCAAAGCCAGCAATAGCCACTGAAGGATGTCATACTTCAGTCTTTGGCTGCCCTGTGCACATCTAGGAAATGCTCTGCCTAATCAAGTAGGTTGGTTTGAAATTGCATCTGTAATAGAGACATAGGGTGAAAAATAACATAAAACCCAGCTCAATCAAGATTCCAGTAAGAAGTCAGTCCCTTGCTCAGGATGCTGCTTAAGCTGCTTTTCCATGGATGGCAGGCTCTTGAACTACAGTGATTTCTGGATAGGAATCATTGAAGCACAACTCAGTGTTTCTTCTAACTACTCCATCTGATGAAGTGAGCCACTGGGACCTGTGAATCACTACCTTTACTCCACCTCAAGCTGGTCTAGCACATTGACCATGTGTCAACTGGATGTCCTGCAGGATCAATTGGAATTTGAGTTGCCTCTCCAGATGGGTGCATATTTACTAATATTTCTGAAATGTTTGGCAGGGCCACTGATACACAAACCTGTTTCAGTTCTTCTTGGCTAGTGTTTCAGAGTCTCCAACCTATTTCATGTTTTCCTGGATCCTGTAGTGAAGATGAAAGCACTAGACCTAACATGAGCTCCCAGGGGCAACTGACCTCATGGTGGAGATCCTGCTCCAGACAAGCAGTGAGACTGAGGATGCTGTAGTCTTATTATGTGCAGTAGAAATTAGGGAAGCCACTCTGTGAGAAGAATCTAGGGGAGACTCAGAGGATGGAGGCCAAAACAAGTATGTATTAGTTTTCTGACACTATAACAAATAAATAAGATAATCAACCTGTAAAGAGAAAAGGTTTATTTTGGCTCACAGTTTTGGAAATTCCAGTCCGTGACCAGGCAGACACAGTGTGTTTAGCCCTTTAGTGGTGGGAGGTGGGAAACAGAACATCATGGCAGCAATAGAGTAGAACTACTCTTCTCATCCTTGGGAAGCAAAAGAGAGGAAGATAAAGGAACTGGAGTCCCACTCTGCCCTTAAAGGGCTCACATCCAGTGGTCCAAAGACTTCTCCCTAAACCTCACTTTAAAAAAGTCCCACCACCTTCCTAGTGGCATGGGCTGAGAATCAACAATTTAACACATGGGTCTTTGGGGGACATTGAAGATCCAAACTTCAAAAGAACAATATGAAAATTCTCTTATTAGAGGAAGAATAAAGGAAACAGGTTGTTTAGCATGGAAGAGATCATTTGGGGCAAGTGTTTGGAGAGTTGTCATAAGAAGAGAGATAATCAGTGTGTGTGTGTGCGAATATGTTTGTACACATACATGTGTGCTTAGATGCAACAGATGTAACTAGTGAGTTGGTAATATGAAGATGGGTTGGTAAAATGAATTCCGGGAATTAGGTAAGAGCTTAAAATAGAATAGAGTTTACTAATGTTGATATGCTTATATTGGGAGGTGTTGCTGCAGAGGCTGGCTGGCCGGCCACTCAGCAGGGAAGTTTCAGCTAGGACTCTAGCATCAGTCAGTGTCTAGCATAGATGACATTTAAAGTCCTTCAAGCCTGGGATTCTCAGCCAGAAGCTGTCTATAAGCCAGACCCACTGACATGATATAGCAGATGAGACTACTGGCCTGGGAGTCAGGAAATGTGAACTCAGGCCCAGCTCTACCCATATTAGTTGTGTACTCCTTGATAGGTCCATTATCCTTTCCAATTTCTGTTTCCTTATATGTCATTTCCTTTTAATGCTTTGTATGTGTCTCAGAGGCTCCCATACAGTTGACATGAGGGAGTGGCCTCCCTCCCTTTTTCTGATTTCCTGTTAAAATGTTTGGGTGGGTTTGCTCACATACTACCTTGACTATACCACAGGGGAAGACAGGAATCTAGTGCTACATGGCAGAAATGGGAAATGGGTGGTACACAAATAGAAATGGGCGGGAAACCAGATGTGAATAGAGGGTAAGTTGGAGGGTAGGAGAAACGGGCCAAGCCTCCAAGAGGCAGGACACGAGGCTATGCATTGTGCCTGGGGCTTTGTTCAAGGGCCAAGGAAGAAGTCATTAAATATGTTGGCCTGGCTTGGACATCCAGGGTGTGGACTAGCTGATGCCAGAGATTCAAGGAGGAGGAGCCATAGTCGGTGCAGAGTCTGTGGGGTTGGTGAAAAAGATGAGTCATGACGTTGGAAGAACAAAGTAAGATAAGGGTGAGAGTAAATCTGGAGTCTGGGGAGGCAAGCTGAGTTGGGAATACAGAGGGTATCAAGTGTGGAAGATGGGAGTGGGACAGGGCAAACACAGAGCTGGGCTATTCTTCCAAACCTATTTTTTTTAAAGTGGCCTCAGTTGCCCTAGTCTCATGTGATGTTGAGCAGCTCTTGCACCAAGTTCCATAAATGCTCATGGCTTCAAGATTGATGCTTCTAGGAGTGGCTGCAAGAAGTAGTCATATCTGGCTCTGGATGGAGCTCCTCGCTGATTGTAGCATCAACCAGCTCCAGTCCCACAAGATTTTCTGGTCAAAGATAGTACATGCTGCATTCAGCCTGGGACCTTCTATTGGCAACTGACCCACCCAGCATGCTAGAAGAGAAAATGCCCACTCTAAAGGATAGATTCAGCTTCTCTATGAAAG